ATTTCTCGTTCTAATGCACAGTAGAATTGGACTCATAACTATGCCTAAACTACAACAGGGAACTGCTGCTTTTTCTTTCCTAATCCTTACTATCGTCTTTTTCCTCTACTTCTTTTGTATGTTTGTCACACTCGCATTGTGGTGAAATCAGGCGCTGGTCGAAATAATGAGTTCCAATAAAAATATATTTTCACGCCCTTTGAGCTATTTCTTTAAGCTATTTCTTTGAGCACATTGTTTTTACTTGTTTTAATCTAAGCACATGTTTATGTCCATTTCAAAACATATTCCTTCGTGAATTTTTCCTGAAGAAACGCTGATCAATGGCACAGAAAATATGAATTTGCATTTTCCAAGGACATCCAAGCTTTGAAGGTCACCAAACTTTGGCGGCCATTTTCTCGCTAAGTTTGCGTCAGGCGTAACGTCACCTTCACCTCCTTCAATAGCAAATATTATCTCGAATCTATTCAAAATTAATTAATATTTGTGTTTTTTTTACGGAGAGCAAGAAATAAAAACAAGCTATAATATTATCCCAATAACTCCATAGCGAGCCCCCAAAAATGACGAGCGCCTGATTCCATCGTGACGTGACACACACATTTCATTTTTCATTAATTGAGAGGCAGCGTGGTGAAATCAGGCGCTCGACCAAATACAGCAATCGGAGAAACTGGCATTTTTCTGTAAGTTTGGAATTGAAAAAAAATATTTTTGGCTGAACCTTTTTTTTATGTCCATATAAAAACACATTTCCATAATATGAAACATTGATTAAAAGCACAAAATATGTCATTGTTGTGTTTTCAAGGACTCTTTAGCTATGGAGTTACCAGACTTTGGTGGCCATTTTCTCGCTAATTTCACCACTGAAACCAAGCGACCTCATTTCCTTCAAGCGCAAATATCTCGAGTTCTGTTCAAATTCAATACAGATAGTTATCTATTTTATTGAAAGCAGGGCAAATCAAACAGCTTTCAGATAGTACCAATAACTCTACATGGCCAAAAATTGACGAGCGCCTGATTCCACCGCGCCCTAACACAATTATTGTGTGGAATGACCCGACAGTTGGCGGGTGCTCCGGTGTGGTTTGCTCTTTCTTTCCTAACAAACATCCATCATCCTTATCTCCCCTCCTTCTTTTTTATGTTTGTTACTCTCTTGTAACACATCAATTCTTCGGCACTTATATGACCTTATGCAGTTGCGAGCGCCGTAAAACCTAACTAAAGCAAAACAAAAACAAACAACTAATCATTCGCACGTCATTTAATAATTATGACCTATTGCACTGCAAGTGCCGTAAAACTCTGACTAAAACTAAGAAAACAGCTAGTCATCAGCACGTCATATATGACCTACTAGCTGGGCCCCCTTTCGAGGAAAGGAATGATCGGTGCTTTAGTATCAACTAAAAGTCATTGGCCTACTATATTTACACTCTACTGGAATGGGGCAATAAATCTTGAGAGATGCAAAAAATTAGAAGGTCTAGATTTATACTCTCAAGTCAAAATACGCCTCGCAAAATATCACTTCCGGATTTTCTAAAATTACAGAGACAGAAGCATCGGCCTACAAAAGCGAACGACGAAATAAATAAATTTAGCTTTATGCAGCAAAACTGTCTCAAAACAGAAAAAACCAAGGGCGTCATGATCTGGAGAATCTTTTGGCGAAAACCGCATGTCGATCGATGCAGCCATTAAAAAGCCTTTTGAATAGCAAAATTCGGCCACCACAAATAGATAATAGATTGTCTTGCAAGTGCCGTAAAACGCTGACGAAAACTAAGAAGAAAAACTCACCAGTAGTTTGTCGTCTGTTCACTGCCTGATCGGGCCTGAACACACGAGATGATGTACGTTTGGATGAGATCTTCTCCCTTGACCAACAGCTCCAGGGTATGAAGCAAAACCGGGTACCCCTCCTCAGATATACCGTACTCTCTCCCTCTCATCCTGTTATAGTTTCTTCTTGCTGCTGGTGGAGAGTTGTTGGTTGGGGGGG